TAAGTCTCACAGAGATGTACCTGGATTAAGAAAGTTTACATGCATACAATTAGGAGTTTAGGGCTGTTCAGTGGCGCAGTGGGTAGCACTGCTGCCTTGCAGGAAGAAGGTACCCTGCCTCTCACCCGTAGACAGCTGGAGATAAGCACCAGCACCCCTCGTGACCCCATTTGAAATTAAGCTTGTCAGAAAATGGGTGGATGGAATTAAGATTTTAAAATCAAGTAACGCACAACATTTTATAAAGAGGTAGAGCAAAGTATATAACAGATTACACATTTTTGCATGACACATTTGTTCATGTTATGTTGGTATTTTCTCACTCAAACAGCATCTGTGCTGCTATGTACAGTACAACTGTGTGGGTTGAATCTAGCTTGACTCTGTTCCATGCTTTCAATCCTAAGATAAAAAAAATACAGACATTTATGATTATAGCAGTTAAGACACAAGGCAGATTTTTAAAGTAAGTAAGCTGGAATACACCAGGTATGTTGAGAGACACTGCAAGCCTCTTCTAATCCCAATCAACCAGCCAGTGACTGAAATTTGCCAATATTACTCTTAATTAGCTCTGATGCCAATGTCAAACGATTTACTCATTGCCTTTGATGTATTTATTCATTTTATTTAAAAAAATCAATTTGTTGTCTTTTTAAAGTAAACTCAAAGACTCATTGGTGCTTCTATTCAAAGCCCTTTCACACTGAATTGAGAAAACCTTTGACACCCAATTATTAAACTGCTGCACTCTATGTCCACCAGCAATCACACCTGACTACCGGACTGCTGGGTAGGGGCATGAGGCGACAAAAGCTATGTGCTACTGTCACTCTCACTCATGCTTCATCCAGGAGCTCAAATAAACTGTCACAGCAATAATCATTAGTCTTGAGAAACCTTAAAGCTTGTAGCATAACTCTTTTGTTAACTGTGTATCAGAATAACTTGACAAGATTCTTCAATGACCATTCAGGTCCTTGATTCTTTTTTGTTATCTCATTAGGGCCCTTGTCGGCTCAATGAACACAAAAAACACTTCTAGCTTTAACTTTAGCCAAATCAATTTTTTTTTCTTTATCGTATTAATCATTGAATCCATCTGTCCTAAGGTAGTTTATCTTGTTTTAGGATGGGATGAAACTCCTGACTTCTGTCTCAGCGCGAAAATCGAGCTCCTCATGATGAATTTCAAAGTGTTCCTAGAAATGAGGTGGTAAAAAGTATAATCTCTCAGTGGAGTTTTTCGATTACGCCTGCTTGTCATTCTTGGCGTCATCATTAATTTTGCATCAGAATCGCAATCAGAAATACTTTAATAATCCCAGAGGAAAATTACTTTTGTTACACGCTCCAGTTAGAGTTTTTTATATATATATATATATATATATATATATATATATATATCCATATGTAAAACTAAATCCAAGTAAAGTGATACCTGGCATGACTAAAAGTGACCAGAAAACTTACAGGTGATTGAACCCTAATCTGTGATTAGTCATATTTTAGTTCTGCTCATTCTTTATCAGAACAGACTGGAGAAGCAGACAAAAGCTAGATGAATGTAAGGATCGATGGATGGATAGATGGATCCATCCATCCTTCCATCTCTAACCTTAACATCAAGATATTTTAACTTGCTTCGTTAAAGAACATAAACTTCCTTTTTTTTTTATCCATGTCTTAAAACATATAAAAAAACTTCCTTCATTGCTTTGCTTTGGTTACAAAGCGCCTTACTGCTTGCATGTATGGATTCTCGGAGATTTTGTTTTCAATAGAAGAAAGCTGAAACTGTAACACTAAAGACATAGCATTTGGTTTAGGAAATTCTAAATGGACTGAATGAACCCGAGCAGAAAATGACATTGAAGAAGGGCTTCCTTGCCTCTATGACTGACTTTACTTATATCAGCCGCGGTGGATTTATTAAACCTAATACCAGAAAAAGCCATTTTGGATTAAAGCCACAGCATTAGCATTATGCCTCTGAGACAACAAAAAAGGTATGAGGCTTCACAGCAAAAAAAAAAAAAAAAGAAGCAATTCAGATCTCGCTCAGATCAAAGCTGTTCTATTAACCCATGCTACATTTGTCAGTTCAGCTATAAATATATAATCAATCACAGAGGTTTCATATATCAGGCCTGGAGTTTATTGAGAGTTAACTCCATTAGCAGCTGAGCAGAGCCGGTAGTTGGGGAATACTCAGTGAGAGTCATGGATCAGGAAGCGATTCCTGCTGAGCTGCAACAGCAGGTCACCTCTTCCTGACCTTATCTCTCCCAGGAAGTGTGCATCCCTATGTGGGTTTTTAAGGTTTGCATTTTTTGTTTTTTTTTGTTAGCCTTATACGAGTGTGTTAAATGTATGTGTGTGTGTGTGTGTGTGTGTGTGTGTGTGGGAGCAAGGTGTTAACTACTCTAGAGGTAGCTTGTATTCTACCTGTTTGGTTCTTGGGGTCTGAAAGCTGCATCAACAGGAGCGTCTTGGCCTGTTAGGAGTACAGCAGCGATGCTGAAAAGTGGAGCAAACAGCGGGATATTGGATTTTATTTCCTCATATCTCTGATGCTGGGATTTGTAGTTTTGATTAGCTACACGGATGGGTGAGGAGTCGGCACCGCTGAGCCCCAGCCTGTGAGTATTCAACATTAGGTTTTTTTTTTTTTAGATTCTAACAATCTGTGACTTTATTATAAACATATGAATAAGCAACTGTGCTCAGGTTAAAATTGTCTTGGCAATAATGAAAGGAATCATGATGCGTTCAGATGTTTCATTTTTTTTTATTGATGTCTACATTTTCTAGATTATGCAATTATAAATAAAAACTCCTCATCTTTAGCTAATAACTTCACAATGACTTGTACCGACTCAGATTTTAGTGATAAGTTTGAAGATTTGCTGCTTTTCTCATTACTCTTTCCTCTTCTCTTTTTCCTGCCATCTTTCTTTGTTGTTCCCTCAATCTCACTGGTGTGAGATGCAATTAATCAGCCTACTGTAACAACACATAAATCCAATATCTCCCTCCCCTTTATAATATTGATCTGAGGAGTTTCTTGTGTCGCAGCCTGTAACAGTTTTACTCATAAAACTGATAGCATTCAACATTTATATCAAACTGAACATTGCCCAATTTGGTCTTATTCACTTATTATTTTGATATGTTTTTTTCATTCAAAAACATTAGCATCTACATTGTATTGAGTTACTTAAGGTAGGTTTTGAAAGTCAAAATACTTGCATGGGATTTGCAGAAATTAGATCACTTTAAAACGTTCTCTACATACTATATCTGTTAAATCTAACTTAAAAATATATAGGAGGACAGAATATAAAAAATGAAGCAGCAGTATCAGACTAAACCACAAGCCTCCAGCCCTTATTTAAGTCCCCAGGTCTATAGGATCTATTTAGCACTGACGACACTGCATAATGCCATAAAAGATCTGTCTACTGTGAAATATGGTGGTGGCAGCATCATGATCTAGGATTACCTCTTCTTTGATGGAGTTGATCATCTTTGGTTGTTTGTCAGAGAGCTTCAAATAAACAATTTTTATTAGTATCACAGTGAAAGCAAAAATACCCCTCAAATCTACAATGGAATAGCCTTGGAGATTTATTTTGAAGTGAGCTTTGCTCAAATAATATGCTGGCTTTCTGATCAATTTAAATTTACTATTCTAAGTTAAAGAAGGCAAATATTATCAAGCAAGGACTAAAAACTAAAGAAAAAAAATAAACATAATTTAGTATTTTAATCAAGATGTTTTTTGATTGTTTGTTTTTTTGATCATCTTCTGTCTTTTAAATTGGCTTATGGGGGAAATAATAATAATACTTTAAGTAAAAACCTGAATTAATGTGATTTAAACATGTTTTTCTAAATTTTTACATTGCTACTGAATTCTGAATGTGATGTAAATACAAGAGGAGATCAAATTCTTTAAGCTACTTTCAAAATAATAAGAATGAATGTTTTATAATCTTAAAAAATGGCCAATTTGCCCCAAGGCCAAACTTTACCTAATCTGGCCCAAGCAACAATAATAGGTGTAGTTCAATTTGAATTATACTCAGTATTTTCAGTATTTCGAGTTTGTAAATGTACAAATCTCACAACTATTCATCTTGATTGCAAGGAAAAAATTCACCACATTAGCAGTCAAATAAATAGCTAAGATGGTTAAAACAAAGGACCAGAAGTCCCACAAAGTTAGCAGGCATGGAAGAAATGTCCCAAAATTCGGAGGGTTGTCTAGACATTATACACCATTAATCCAAGAAAGTGTGCTGGTGGTATCATCTCCACTGAACGAAAGTCTCAGTGACAATTTGTAAATAAAATCACAACAATCTTAATGTGTCAAAAAATATGAACTGCAGAAGAAAAAGCTCATAAATTATCATTGGACTGGATTGGATTGAATTGCAATCAGTCTGAATAAGTCTGTTTTCAACAGAATATATTTATTTACAATTCAAATTCAGTTAGATTTAATATCAGTTATCCACAACTGTAATAGACTATTAAGAGCCTTAACTTAGCAAACATTGACTAGGACAAACCCCCCCCAAAAAGGATTGTAGGAATGTGGCACAACAGGCCTTTCTTTGTGGAGTTATCATGTTCTCCCTACAAGTCTGTGAACTTTAGCTTCCTGCTATTTAAAAACATAAACTGGAGATTTTCTTTACATGCCGCTGTACAGCACCCAGATGTGAATTTGTGTCTTCATAGTAGTTTGTATTATGCATTTTTTATTGTCCTGTCGTGGACCGATCATTTCCACATTGTACTTGGCTTCTCACTCAGTGGCCAGTGGAGTTTTGCACCAGGCCTCCAACAAAAGAAGTTTTCTAGAAAGTTCATGAGTGAATAGGATTTAGAACACAATTGTAAATATTAGCAAGTATTTCTTTTTTCTAATTTGAATCTGCATACACATATGAAACTATCTTGTTCCTTTTTTCTGGTGTTTTTTGTAGAGGTATCCAGCAGCACTTGTCCAGCTACCGGGAGACAGTGATCCGGCAGGCCTCGGTGGCAGCAGGCTCAGCTGTTCATCGGGACGATGCACCAACCTGTGGCATCTGCCACAAGACCAAGTTTGCAGATGGATGTGGGAACCTGTGTTCTTACTGCCAGACCAAGTTCTGCGCTCGCTGTGGGGGAAGAGTGTCCCTGCGCTCCAACACGGTGAGAGAAGCTTTTGCATGTAGTTAAAAACTGATCATCATGATGGCTGACTGAAACTTTCATTTACATGAAATTATTAATCTGTTACTGTTTCATTTTATTCACGTTTAACAAGTTTTCTGTTTTTCTAAATTATTATTGAAGTGGAAATAGGATTAGGCGACATCTGGTGGTGAAGTTGTAGATTTCAAGCTGCTGTAAAAAAAAACACAGGTCTTGTTGATTTACAAAGGGGCTATGGACCTCCACAATTTAAAGAGCTAATTCCTATCCATTAAAACTGAAAGGGTTTATAGATTATTAGAGCGCTAATAATTAATGAGAATAGATTACACCCTCATTCATTTTAGGCCATACTAAAAATGATGTGGTCTTTGTTGGAATTTTTACAATTATTCAAATTTTTTTTAAAGCACACCAAAGACAACACAGTGTCTGAAATAAAGATTGACATATATTCAAAAAGATTGTGAAAAAACATTTGTACACCTTTGCTACTTCAATGGGATTTAGGAGTAAAAGAATCAGCTAGATCGGCATAGGTAAAGGATTTGTCTAATTATATATCAGTTTTATTGATGGTCTGGGACATACAGGTATCTGTCATCACAATGCAAAGCAGGAACATCTGCAGCACTGGCCTTAGAGAAACCACTGTAGCTACTTATCAATTTGAAATGTTGTAAGTTAACTGAGGCACACCCTGCTTTCTATAAAAGAGTTAAGGCTGCTGCGAATAATCACAGGAATTAATGTAGAAGCATATAGAGAAAAAAAAATCTCCATCTTAGATTGCATCCTATACAAAACTAAGCAAAGGACAATTGGCCAAAAATTGCTGCAAGTGTTCTAGATTCAAATGTAAAGCCTTCAATCTGACAGCTGATGCTAGGCCCAAAGTGGGTTAAACAACCAGAAAAGCAACAAGGTGAAGAGGAGGGGGGGTCATAACTCCTCTAAAACGATGTGGGAAACCAATACAGTCCGACAGGAATCCACTACTCAGAGATACTGCAGCCAAAGGTAGTTATACAAGCTACGTAGTGACAGGATGTACTTACTTGTTTATTTACAGGCAGCTTTTCTGTTGTATTTAGTGTGACATGAGAGAGAAAAAAATTTTGGGTTTCTTTTTTATCTTGACATTTAAGTAAAATAAGTTTAGATTTGAAAAGATCAGAAAATGTTAGCATTTCTTTAAACGCACGTGAAATTCCTATGACAGAAATGGGGTCTACTTTGCTTGACATTTATCTTATGACTTGCTGACCCTAGATCATCTATCTGGAAATATTTAGTCTCGTTACCACTATGAACCCACAGCTACTTGTGTAGAGAACACATTTAGTGTTAAAGTTTACAGACAACACGTGGTATATCTTTGGAATAAAAGATGCATAGATGCTCACATAGCTTGTTATTTTCATCAATAGAATAATTGTTGAAGAAAAGAAAAAATAAGAGAAATTCTGCTTGAAAAGGCAGATCGATTGGAGTACACAATGAAAAGGTGCACGGGTTCATATTGTTTTTTAAGGGGGCATTGAAAAGACATGCAGCTGTTAACAAAATCAGTATACTGTACATCAGATCGAGTCTCAGGTGTTGGAACTCAGGCAGAGGTGATAAGCCATGAGAGTGTGTGTGTCACACTATCTATCCTCGCTGTTTACTCTGACTGTGAGGTAAAATCTACCACATACAAGAACTGTGTGTGTTAAAGTGTGCCTCTGAGCATGTTCGTGCATGAGCTGTGCCCACGTGTGCGTGAATCCATGTGACCCAAGCAAGGCCTGGTAAAGGTTAATTGGGCATTAGACTGAGCTTTGGACTGAGGGGGTGGTCTGCCACTCTGTCTTGGTCTCCCAGGGGTCCGGAGGTGCCCTATAAGCACACAGCAGGGTGTGTGTTTGCGTATGCGTGTGTGAATTTTACAGTCAGTAGGTGAGTTTTCTTTTAAAAGAAGTGACTGTCTGAGTCTGGCCCCCTTCCCCACATTACCACGCTGGCATTTAATGACCTCACACAGGCACACACACATATGAAAAAAATACACCCTAATTAGTTAGTGGTTGATTTAGGGAGCTCTCAGCTGTGGGGCTCTGTAAGGAGAGAGGGTAAATATAGAAAATCAAAGACGAATAAACCTTTAACCTGAGACAAGACACTGGCTTGACAAATTAAGCCTTGTATTTATTTTTTAAATCTTTTGAATACATATATTTTGATACCAACCAAGGACAGCTATATGGTGGTTTCCAAACACTTTACTGAAGTACACCTCTCTAGGTCCCTTTGCCAATGAAATGGTTTTAGTATGGTTGGGTATCGTTGAGCCAATAAATACTAAGAAATTTTTCACAGATTTCAGAAAAGAAAATGTCATGTATGAACTGTTATGTAACTGATTTTACTCCAATATCTAATATTGAATTAAATCATCATCTAAATAAAACAAAAGAAGCAAAAAAACTTCCTTTAGAATTCACCAAACAAGTTAATAATCTAATAATCTCTTGAATTAAGTGAAATCTTAAAAACTCACACGATTAGAAAAGACAATTAGAAGAAATGTATTGATACAATTACTTGGTCTTTGGCGCTCAGATCTCGGCAGGAAACATAGAGCTTAATTTTTATAGATATGCATGAACAGGAGTAAAGAACAGGGCTGTTTCCCCCCCAGGCCTGAAACTGGTGGTGGAGTGGAGATAGATGAAGTTGGTCAGTCTGTAGACTGCTGGAAGTCCAGCTTGGATAACAGAGGTTCAGAGAACCTGTCCATGATGAGCAAACATGAAGCGACAGTGGAGAGGAAAAACTCCCCGTTGGGAAGAAACATCTGGCAGAAACAGGCTCAACATGGCGGTCTTCTGCCAGACCAGTTAAAATGAGACGAGGAATGCAGTAAGAGTCCGTGAGGAATTAAACCCTGATGAAGCTTTAGCTACAATGGTGGAGGAGGTGCTGGAGGCGGGTTGAAACAGGGTCATCTGAATGAAGTCAGACAACGCAACCACCGACTGCGCACTAGAGCAGACAAGTTGCAGATCTAAGGCCTTTTAAGATGAACTTTGGATGCCGATTGGCTTTCGTGGAGGTGTGGTTCAAAGCTGATTGGCTAAGTCGCAGGTGGATGTCGGAGAGCGCTCAGTTTCCTCAGTTGAACAAGCAAGTAGAATATTCATTCACGATACAGGTAGGAGGCATGGGATATTTGGTTTAACAGCTTAGGAGAACATCAGTTAATTTTAAAATCGCTAGCTTTGTTCTTTAGGGAGAGAGTGGCAAGATCAAAAAGTAGACGTCTGTGGTCAGATGAGACAAAAACTGAAGACCACCTTGGTCCTCGTGCCAAAACACTGTGATGGGAGGATTATACTGCAGGGATACATTTTTGAGCAAGGGCCAGGAATCTGTTTATGTGGTAATCAAGCTACTTTACCAAAACAGATTAAGGAAAAATGTCCCAATTGGGCTGTCGCATAAAAATTCCATAAAGCACTGAGGTTTGTGGATAGTAGGAAGGATTGCTTTAGCAATTCCCTCATGATAACATTACGAGGGTCATGTCCGGCGCAGGAAGTAAGATTTTTTACTGCTTTCCTATAATTCTTGCTAACTTTTCTTCTTGTCTTTCTTTTCATTCTACATGTCTGACTGGGCTTCAGGAGGACAAAGTGGTGAGTACTGTCTGCTCTTTACTTTGTAGCTGTTGGCCTGAGACCTTTAGGTCATTGCTGATGATTAAAGCAGCGCAAAACTAGATGTGCCTCTGTATATTTAGATCTTTTTCTCTTCTTATGTCCATTCCTGTGTGATGATTCCAGCAGAAATATTTAATGAAAAATACTATATAATAATACTTTGTTGTGAGAGTATATTTGTCAGCTAGCAGGGACTATTTCTCTATTCACCATTTGCTCTTCATGAATTTGTAGAGAAATATTGTGTATAAAATAGGTAATTCTATTCACTAAGTGCTAAATGTCTTTATAAACATAGATAATATTTGCTACGCTATTTTAGTTGGTTTATTAAGTGAGGGACTTTGTAAGAGAGTTTGTTTTTGTAAGAAAAAAGGAAAGAAGTGCATTACGATGGCATGTGTTATGAATTGACGCTATAAAAATAAAGTGAATTTAATTGAAGAAAAAGTGGCTCAGTATTACAGGCTTGAAGACCAGGAACTCCAATTGCTTTTGATTCAGATTATTGGACTATACTCTGACCCAGATGACTTAGAATCTGCACAGGTGTCTCAGTTGTAGAGACCTGCATTCTCTTGCCTTTCTGTGTGAACTCTGTTTTTTGTGGTACATAGAGAGAAAATCAGCCCCATTGTTCACACTGTAAGACAAGAGAAACAGGTGATTCGGGCTGGATGAAGTCTCCTGCACAGTTAGAGCTGCATCATTGATCTGAGACAATGACTGTTGCCTGTAATCGATGAACCCTCTTGAGTCAGTTTGTTTTTGCAACAAAATGACCTTTTGACATTTTAATCCTGCTCTTTGCTAATTTCCCTCTGTGAATGTAGTGGCTAAATGTCACTCACTGATTGGTTTGTAGATATATCCAGATCCCACAAATCTCAAAAGACTGAGCAACAGAAACGTCTCTGCTGTGCTTGAAAGATGTACAGTCATGGAAGGAATGGACATCTCTTTCAGTTCCTGGGTTTTATCTATCAGGATATGTTAAATTTGATTAGTGTGCTAACTGTGAGCTCGATCCCAATTCAAAATCTTTGTGGTCAGAAAAATGGGATTCCACAACTTCACTATTTCACATCGTTGTGGACACATGTCACTTAGTAAAGTAGGTTTACTGTTGCAGCAAACACATGCACACCATTGAAACACATCATAGATCTAATTAGGACTTTAGTATTAATGCGAGTATAATCAAACCAAACAGTCCTACAACATAAGGTAAAACTGGACATATAATAGAACCAACCAAAGTAGAAGTTTCAGAATTAAGGCTGAGGCATAATTTCACTTTATTTCACAATATAGAGTCTAAAGCTCTTCCTCATGAGTCCATCAGAACTTGTATTCCCTCAGCATTAAAATAACAAAACCAGGATATTTAAAACAGCTAGTGAAACTTAAACAATAGTCTGATTTCACAAGTGGATTTAATCTCATTATTAGGGAAGAGATTGATCGGAAATGTTATTAAAAGAGGGAAATCAATCTGTCTCTCAGGCTCAAGTATTAGAATGTTCAGTAGTAAAGTAAAGAAAGTCTGTTTGCTCCTAACCCTCATAGCATCAAACTGAACCAATAGGTTTCTGGAACAATGTCTTTTGGAGACTGTTTGGCCATAGTGGTGGAAGCCTGATGATCTGGGCTTTTTGGCATTCACAGGACCTCTTGTCTTAAGCCTTATACACAAAGCTTAAGACATATTGCGTGATATTTGTGCCGAATTTTTGCCCTGATCATCCCCTTCCAAGATTCCCTAGTGATTGATAGCTCTTACGGTAATCTTATGTAGAAGGTTTTACTACTGTATGTGTTGTGTTACGGCAATCTAGTCTGGAATATCAGGACAATTGTCATGTTGGACTTCCTTGGCCTAATATCCCAGCATTGTGAATGGTGTGTTTTTTTTTTTTAAGGACAGACAAAGATACAGTTTGTTGAATCTGACATGAAGACAATCAGAATTCCTTTTCCTGAGAAAAAAAAATCACAATTCACCTGTGTTACAATATAGTAAGTGAATCCCCTACTTGCTCTGCCACCACTATTTACACCAGCACCTTTTTAATGTTATTTGTTAAAACTGGTTCCAAACCCATCGCCATTGCTTCTGCATCTCTGCAGTGTTTATGTACCTTGAACTAAACCATTGATTGAGAGATTTGATAAGGGTTTCCTGTCTAACATTTGAATTTCCCTCAATGAAATCTGCTAAAATGGGATGTGTTATGGCTGTACAAATCACACACTGGCACCAAACCTGTTATATCCATGATTTTTTTACTATCATGTGTCTGGTCTCTTACATAGGTTCACCGGAAATTTTTTCAATCTCAAAAGCCGTGTGAACCTGGCACTGCAGCCATTCAGTCAAACTAGGTCATGAACAGGGCAGTCATTAATTTTCAGCTAGCACTACCAAAGAAGTGACAAAGGATAAAAGAAAAAAAGTTCAGCAAAATGTCTTAGTCTAAATCTGGTGTTTATTTTGTGCCATTTGGGGAGTTTTATATAATTTAACTAAACTAAAAAAAAGATAATCCCTTATTTGGGAATTATATTTTTTCTTGACTGCAGTCTGGTTTATCAGACCTGAAGGAAAATGATATATTAACTCATTTTAATAGTTCTAATTTCACATAGTATACTTTAGAGCAGTCTCCCAAGTGGACATGCTTCTAACACCTTCCTCTACTTCCATACTTGTGTCAGGTTGAAAACCTTCTTTGGCCTTGGCTGCATGTCCTAAAATGAGCTGCCAAATGAGCACTTTGATGATTCTTGGCCAGGTTTGAGCATTGCTGTCTGGGATTGCTTTGTTGTGCTGTACATAGCAGTCCCACTCCCCGGCTGAAGATTGGTACAACAATCACTGGCTCGAAAGTGAACAGATTTGGCAGAACACAGGCCTTATGTAGCTCTGGCTGCATAGCAAGACGGCAAAGCAGGTTGATTTACTGTTTGACATGGATTCATTAAATTACTGCAGGAATGATTAATCTTTCTTTGCAGCGCTGCTGAAAAGTTGTTCTCACTGCTCCTTTACTGCAAACAGACTAGAGTCTCATCGGCAAACAAAAACAGTTGCAAAGTGGTTCTAAATGTAATGTGGTGAAAGACTACAAAAGACTCCAATTCTTTTGTTTATAATAACACTGGACATGACCTGATTTGATCTTTTGAATGAAATTAAAGCACGGAAATTAATGTGAGAGTTAGTTATGTTAAAAACAGAAATAAATTACAAAAATCATGAAAATTAAAAGCAAAATTTACTGAATAACAGTGCAGACTTCGCACATTGACATGCACATGATGGGTAGTGAGCCGTTGTGTTTTTTAAATTTTAATGTGTAATTAAAATTAACAAACTACTGATTGGAAAATCTAAGCAAACAATATTCTCTTTCCCATGAAATATCTTGTCTTTTGTAGCTTGTAGCAAAAATACAGATGCTTAATCAAGCAAAAGATGATTCTACCAAACACCTGATAACATCTGTATTTTTGTGGTATCACATTTAATAGAAGTAATTGTAATTAATTTAACACAAACACACTACTACTTTATTTCTATACTAAACCCTTAAGTGCCAGCTTGATAAAACAGAACCAAAGCCACGTGCAAAGTAGCAGAGACACATGCAAATTACAGAAAAACTGGAGCTACGATGTCATCTAGTCATGTATCCATCCTCATAAAAGATGCGGTTCACATGTAGCCAACTCAAAAATGATTGCTCATGGTTTCCATGTGGCTGGGGACTTAGTGTCGCTTAGTTTTATATGTTAGAGTACAATAATTTTGTTGATTTAGATATAAAATAAAAAAAAACAAAATCATGTACAGTGACCTGGCTGTTTTCAAATCATTCTACAGATGTAGAACTGAAATTCATATCTATCAACAACTAATTGAATAGCGCGGAGCAAAGCATTTAAAACAGTTTAGTTTGCACTACCTTCTTAATCTGATAAACTCAGTGTTACAAAAAATATTACACTGATACTAATATTTTACAGGAACAACATAAGCTCAATGTTTCGTCTTCACTTTGTTATCGGTCATCAAATAGCTGATCTTGATTATGGCTTCACAGCTCCAATTTCTATAGCTGTTTTTATATCAGCATACGAAATAGTTTTTCATATTTTTTATTTTTTTTAAATTACCATCTTGTGTTTCTGAATCCTGTTTAACAGATTATGGTAATCCTGTTATGTGTGTTTTTTTTTTTTTTTACAAATACATTTTTTTTCACTCAAATCAAATTAACATAAATAGAAATACATTTTAATTATTTATTTTTGAAAATAATATGTAATTCTGGGTTAGAGCTAATTAAATTTACAAAATTCTGTTTCCTAGAAAATGTAAATATGTTAGGAAAATGAGAAAGGATATTGAATCAAACAATTTTATAATGTGACCAAAATAGTCACAAGACGGCTGTTGTCTATAGGCACTGAAGTTGTTCACAGACAAGGTAAGACGCAAAACTTGATAGCTAAAGAAACGGGCTGTTCAACATGCTGTATCCATGTAAATCAAGAGAAGGTTGAGCGAAAGGAATACATGTGGCAAAAACAAATTTGCAATCAACAAATAAACATTTTTTTGTGTGTTAAATCATTTCTGGACCAGAGACAACTTCATAACAACTTCACTTTTGTTACATGCTCCAGTTACAGTGTGTGTATATATATATATATATATGATAAATTGTCAGATTTCTTTATCAACCAAATAAAGATCAAATCAGGTTAGGCTTAGCATTAACTTTCTGCCTAGCTGCCAACTACAAACACTAAAATCTTGTTCCCACAACCTCAATCTACTTTGAAGTTTCCCCAGAGACTTAGCCTATTTTTTTTTAATCAAATATATCTATTTAACTCAACATCGTGTTGATGTTATAAAGTAGATGTGTACCATGACCTTTTACCTCTGGGGGGCTGTTTATAGGGTC